CCCACTGTCGTGTCTGCCTGTCTGCCTGTCTGTCTGTCTGTCTGTCTGTCTGTCTGTTTCGATTTTTTTTAAGCAAAAAAACGAAAAGCACAAAATAGAACAAACAGACAGACAAACAGACAAACGAACAAACAAACAAACAAAATTAAACAAAAAAAAAACCCAAACAAAACAAACAAATATACTAACTGCCATTATCCTACGATTCTTTTTATATTCAGTTTATTTGATATTTGATTTAAGAAGCGTTCGTACAAAACACCAATAAATGAGAGGTAGAGGATAATTTAGGTTGTGTAAAAATCTGTAGAACAGCAAAACTGTTGTGAATATGCAAAAAAATTCGGTAAAACGTACGCTGACCTGATAATTATGTTGTTGTGACTACCATAAGTACCTAGACCTATTTACCATACTCCGTTTTTCCTCGATATGCACCACTGAAGTCGTTGTGAAGAACTGCAGGCTATTCATGCGGCGAGCACTATTATAATTCATGGCAAAGAGGTTATAAATTCAGTACTAGAGCTCGCAACTGTGATGTCACGCGTATCAGACGGCCATGACGAGGAGGCAAAAAGCCCACTCGGTAGACTATAATACATAATTATATATTATAAAGAGCGCACAAGTAACAACAGTAGTATAATGGAAGGTACCATCTTGACACCATACAACTGATTCAAATATTCCTGGATTGGCTACTGACTTGTGTAACGCCAACTAGGCGGCTCATTGCACGTCAACCTCTGGGCCAGAGATCAGACCCTGCAAAACAAAATTAATACTTTTGATTTTGAAGGTCACAGTCGAATTAAGACGAGTTCGATCGAATAGCTTATACCCTTCCATGAAGCCTTTTTTTTGGTAAGTGTTTTACCGCGCTCGCAACTGCATAAGGTCATATGAGCACCGGGGACACATTAAACATTTTGAGTTGGAAGGACATTTTGAAATTTGCCTCGGTGGCGACCGAAGCCTACTCTTATCGATTTTGGATTACCAAAGGATCTTTAACGTGCGCAACTTGCACACGGGACCTCCGAGATTTTCCACGCTTATCCTAGAAGGATAAGTGTAGATCTTTCATACAATAAGATCAGGGGAGTGGCTGAAAGACAGCAGTAAGGAGGAGCCAAGGAGTAGCAGTAGAAAGGCTGCAGAAAAAGTCAGGAGCCCAGAGGAGAGGAGAGCTCAAAGGAAGTGAGGGGTGGGGGGCAGAAAGAGGAGACGAAAGCAGACGACAGAACATTGTTCGAGGATGTGAAAGGAAACAAAATTAGAGAAGAAATTTTCCATTGCTATCCGGATTTGAAACAGAGACTATTGGATGGGAGGCGAACACCTTAACATCTAGACCACGAGATCCCCCAAGGATAGTCTGACTGACCCCAACTCAATAAATTAATGAATTCACTTGGCAGTGTGAAGTGTGCAATTTTGCCTGGGTGGCGGCCGAAGCCTTCTCTTATCGAAAGATTTTCCAGTTAATTTAAGGCTTTTCGGTATACCTAGAAGTGTCATCTCTGATTCAAAAGTCGACATGGAATGACCCGCCGCAACTAATGGTCGCCATTTTCCGTTATACATTTGCGAGACCATTGTGAAAGAGGTGCTTGAAGGAAGGGTGTGGGGCAGAAGAACCAGGCTAGGACAAAGAATAACATGGATGGACAAGACAAAAACATAGGTATTGCAGATGTGCAACGGAAGCTCGGAGGATGGAGGGTCGATACACGCCAATCTCTGAGTCAGAGATGACACCTCCAGGTATCCAGGTATGTACTAAGGCCAGTCCATGCCTTGAGGTTATTGGTCTTTTTTAACCCCTTGGGTCTTTTGCCACACATCTTCCCTTCAAGAATGTCCCTCAGAATGGTCTGGTGGCGTTTTAAATCACCAATGGATGTATTTTTCTAATTTTCGTTTTGTTCAGCAGAGTTTGTTTTGTGAGGAAAATTTGACCCCGCCCCAAAGTTAGTAATTTTTACTTTCCAGCTATTTTAAGGCTTTTCTGCGATAGCGCTCGAATTCAGATAATTTATGTTGTTGTTTTCTTTCAATGGTGAAGTCCAGGTGTGGATGGTTGGGGGGGGGGGGGGGGTGCTCTGGTGGGGTTTGCTCCTTCTTTCCTATCTAACATTTATTGTCCTTTTCTCCCCCCCCCCCCCCCTTTTCTGTATTGGGGTTGTTACTCTCTTGTAACACCTCTGATCTTTAGCACTTATATCATAACAAATGGGGTGGGAAAGGCCCGAAAAAACCTCACCCGAAAATAAAAAAAGAGGCCCGGGGTGCGCCCAAAAAAATATATATAGGAAAATGGGCGTAGATTTAGAACTAATTAACAAGGTGTTTAACAGTTTTTTTGTTTTTTAAAACTATTTAGTGCATTATTTGGGGCATTATTTGGTGTATCATTTGGTGCATTATTTGGTGTATTATTTGGTGTATTATTTGGTGCATTATTTGGTATATCATTTGGTGCATTATTTGGTGTATTGTTTGGTGCATTATTTGGTATATCATTTGGTGCATTGTTTGGTGTATTATTTGGTGCATTGTTTGTATATAATTTGGTGCATTATTTGGTGTATTATTTGGTGAATTATTTGGTGCATTGTTTGGTGCATTATTTGCTATATAAATTGGTGTATTATTTGTTTTATTATTTGGTATATCATTTGGTGCATTGTGCAGTCGGTATATTCGTGTCTCATGCAGGATCCGACAGCAGTTCGGTGGACTGTTCTCTCTGGTGGTTCTGTCCCAGGACTGGCACTGCCCCACACATGTGTCCTTCGCCTCCTCCCACCCGGGGAAAAACGTTCTGGATGTTGTACCTCTAAAGTATCAATCTGACGGTAAGGCTTTTCTGGTTTTCTCTCCCAGCAATTTCACATCTAGGCCTTTCTCTGAAGTCTGCAGCCCTCCTCCCCCTCTCCTTTTTTACCCCGCACTCTTAATTGCTCTCTCGCACTCACTATCTCCTCTCTCTCTCTCTCTCTCTCTCTCTCTCTCTCTCTCTCTCTCTCTCTCTCTCTCTCTCTCTCTCTCTCTCACAGACTCTCTCTCTCTGCTATCTCTCTTTCTCTTTCTGTTTCTGTCTATCGCTCTCTCTCTCTCTCTCTCTCTCTCTCTCTCTCTCTCTCTCTCTCTCTCATTCTCCCTTCGCTGTGTGTGTATGTTTTGTGTGTGTGTATGTGTGTGTGTGTGTGTGTGTGTGTGTGTGTGTGTGTGTGTGTGTGTATGTTTGTGTGTGTGCGCGTGTGTGAGAGAGAAAGAGAGAGAGAGTGAGAGAGAAACAGAAAGAGAGAGAGAGAGAAAGAGAGAGAGAGAGAGAGAAAGAAAGAAAGAGAGAAAGAGACAGAGAGAGATAGAGAGAGAGACAGACAGAGACAGAGAGACAGAGAGAGAGAGAGAGAGAGAGAGAGAGAGGAGAGAGAGAGAGAGAGAGAGAGAGAGAGAGAGAGAGAGAGAGAGAGAGAGAGAGAGAGAAGCAGGAGAAGCAAGGCGGGGGGGGGGGGGTTAAGGACACCTATCTCGAGAATATTAGCAACGAAATGGGACGTGGCTGCTGATAACCTTAACATACCAGCTTTCAAAATATGTTTGGGTACTGTAGACAAGCTGCGAAACACGAAACGGGGCAGAGAGGAGAAAATTATCAACACTGAAGATATCAGCAGTGTCACAATGCAGTACAACCAGGCGCTCGTCAGTTCTTTTGGGCGTATGGAGTCATTGGTACATGGACCCCTGGATACCTGGGAGTGTCATCCCTGACTCAGAGTCATTGGTATCATCTTAAAACATGTTCATATATCTTGCTTTGGAAGGAAAAATACACACATTATCACCATCATCACCATCATCATCATCATCATCATCATCATCATCATCATCATCATCATCATCATCATCCAGTGCCAGATCTACGACAGACATCGGCGATCATGGTTCTCCATTCATTCCCTTGCTCGGATGTTCTTAAAAAAGCTACGTTTCCCTGATCTTTTCCCGTTACCCATTTGTTTAGGTTCCCAGAGTCGACGTTATTGCCATTGAAGATGTTGGGGTCGTCTGTGCCTAATATAAAAATAACGAGAAAATTTTTATGGCCGCCATAGTTTACTGACTTTACTTTGAGTGTCTTGGAAATGGAAAATGTTCATTTTTGATAGTTTAGATCAATACTTTTTCCAGTTAAAATTCACACAGAAATGTGTTTTAAACGAACATAAAAGGTGTGGCCAAAGAAAAAAAAAGTGAAATAGCCTAAGGAGCAGACAAATGCTGGGCGAGAACTTTGATAAATATGATTAATTTGACGAGCGCCTGATTTTACCACTATGTCAAACATACGTGTATTCTGTTCACGCCATTACCCCCTCCCCTCCCCTCCCACCTCCAAGGGCAGTGCTACTGACTGAAGTGTCTTTAGGCCGTTTCCAAAGGGGGGATATTAACATGTCTTATGCACAATAGAATTTTTAATGGGCTGATTTATCAATGTCACAGTCATGCTCCTACCGTGCCGGAACAACCTAGGGGAACAACTGCTTTTCCCCCCCTCCTCCTTACTATCGTTATTTTCTCTCTGCTTCTTTTGTATGTTTGTCACTCTCTTGTGAACTGTTATTTCCTGAGTGCCTTGATAGTCGAAACAGGCTTTGTGTTGTTGAGGCTAGAGAGGAGAGCAGAGTAAGCCTGATTTCCCCTTTGGACTTCTCTATTGACACCCACCCCTTGGCGCTCATACGACTTTATGCATTTGCGAGCGCCGTAAAACCTTAGTAAGTTTTTTTTAAAAATAACAAAACAAAACATGTTCACGTCAGGCACACTTTGTCTTGGCGGAAGTATTAGCAAGACCAACTTCCCCAACGCCACGACCTGTCAAGGCGACCGAGAGTTGGACCAAGTCTTGTGGCCTGTCCACTGTGTGCAGGACGTCACCACTGGGCCTACGTCATCAAACCTTGCGGATTCTCTCGACAGGGCCAGCAGTGACGTCATTATCAGGAAAGGAAGCTATTGTGAGGTGAGCACTTTAAGCAATATTTTTTTTTTTTTAGATTGCTGTTCTTTTAAATTATGCATGTGACTGTGAACCTGTTTGTGAGTGCAAGTTTGGTTATGGGCACAGTTGTGTGAGGAAGAGGAGATGGGAAGAGTCAAGAGTGTGTGTGTATATACGGGTGTGCACATGTGCGTGCGTATGCCTGTGTGTGCATGTGTGTGTGTGTGTGTGTGTGTGTGTGTGTATGTGTGTGTGTGTGTGTGTGTGTGCATGTTAGTATGTTAGTGTGTGTGTGGGGGG